ATACCTACTTAATCATTTAATATTTACAAAAATATTTCATACAATATGCTTCAAGAGAATTGAAGTAGTTGATGGAATTTATTCAATTATTGATATATGTATGAGAATTTAATGATAACAAAGAGCAAGTAAAATTAACATATTAGAGAATGGATAAAATGGGTGAGATATGGAGGACATGTGCTAAAAGAAAAAAAAAAAGAAAAGAAGAAGAGGTTGAGAGAATGGTATGCAAGAGAATGGGAGGAGAATTGAAGAACGCAGTTGGTTCAACATGGACTAGAGGTGTAGTATATATAGAACTTTCAACAACATGTACCATGTTGCTAAAAGTTTAGTCACCCATCAATAATGTTTTTCATTTTGCTAAAACATATTTGAATTTCAAATCCCATAACTCATTACCGACGTCTATCATGTTATTAAAACGTAAAATCACCAATTCTCTTACCACACTACTGGATAGTTAAAATTATTATGTTTTAATTAATTTTTAATCTTAAAAGTATTCATTTTTATACCTAAAATTTAATTTATTAGTTAGTTTTGTTTAATTTATTAAATTTTATTTAACACATGACACATTAATTAATATAATTGTATTATTTATTAACATATTTGAATAATTTAATACTCTATTTTGTCTAAAAAAATATGTGGATATGCATATTGTTGATGACCAAACTTAAGATTTCAAAATTTAAAAAGAAAAATAAATAATGAAAAATTAAGTGTGAAAAATATAAAATGAGTCATCACTCGTCCAAATTATAAGCTAAGACAAGTCACCTTAAACAGATTTGCGTAGGAATTAAGATTCGAGAGTTCGGTCAAGAGTGACAAAAAGAATATGTGTATCTCACAATCTTCCATTTGAATATGGTTGCATACTTTAACATTAGAGTTTTAATTCAACTTATTTATTATATCTTTGTTTAGGTCTAAATAGGCAAACTTAAAAGGATAAACCAAATTGTAACATATATATTTTTTTAAGTTTTGGACTAAAATGAACAAAATCAAGAGCATGGATGCACAATGAGCACAAATAAAAATTAAATGGACTGATTTGATTAAATTAAAAAAAAAACAGGGAGGACTGATATGAAAAGGTTTGAAACCTTGGGACAAAATTACTTAATCATAAAATTTTTGGGTGAAATTGAAATTAAAAGAAATAATTTGGACTTTAACCAAGATTAAAGGAAATTAAGGATTTAAATTAATTAACTATGATAATTAGTTTAATTGAATGATTAATTTATCATTAATTAGAATTAATTAAATTTAATTAATGACATCTATTAATATTTAATCAAGATAATTAAATAATATAATTATCTTAAATTAAGATCAATAAATATGATTAATTTATTTTAATTCAAATTAATTAATTTTATTAATCATTAATTAAATTAATTATCCTAATTAATTAATCATTTTATTTATATTATATATATTTTTTACTTTACTCTTTTTCATTGTTTGTTTTAATTTATTTATTTTTAGTTCCATTGCATTGGGTCGGGTCATTCTGGCCCAAAAACACAACCCATTCACCAAAATATGCGAAAACAGATCAAACACTAGACAGAAATGGAATCTGGATAGCAACAAAATGAAATTTAGGGTTCATTCCAATTGCGTCTCATTCTTCGCGAGAAAAACACATGCATGTAAATGTAGATCTATAAAGATTCAACCAGTAAAAATGACAGAAAATAAACTGAATGGTCTTTGATTTTCATTCATTTTTTAGCAAATATATACAAG